CCCAATTTCAAAGATAATCAATCCGGTCACTGTCCAATTACATCTTCCTCGACTATTGGGGAAAATTCATCTGGTGTTCCATTGTAGTTTACTAAAACCAGCTACTACATCGATGATAAGACCACTGCCAATCGCTCCCCCTAAACCGTTAATGGTACATGGGGAAACACATTATGAGATTCAAAAAATTCTCAATTCTAGATTACACCATGGCCGATTGCAATATTTGGTCTTATGGAAAGGATACCCCCTCTCAGATGCTAGTTGGGTAAAGAGTTGGGATGTTCATGCTGATCAACTGGTTAGCCAATTCCATGAGGATTTTCCCCACAAACCGAAGGGTCCTCATGGGGGGGGGGGGGGGGGGTGTTAAGGACAATGTATTAACCCCTATATGTGTTTTTTTCTTTTCTTTTAGGAGGAGGAGTTTTCAAGGGGGACGCCTGTCAGCTTTGAAATTCAGCTGCCACATTTTTTTGTTTAGAGAGTTAGAGGAGTTGAAAAGTTCAAGGTTATTCTGTATGTCGTATTAAGAATTTCCAGTTGCAGTTAATTGGTTCTCGTGATTTATGAAGTATAGAAGTGGGAGGAGAGAAGGTGGATTCTGTGTAACGCGTGAAAAAACTTCCACTTGGGAAATTGCTTTTGACATGCCAGATCTGTTTCTAATAAATCAATTGGAGAGATAATGTCTCTGAGTGATTGATGGATACTTTCTGGATGCCTGACATACAGATTCATTCAGAAATCTATCTATCTGCCATTGGCTAGCTCAGTCTGTCACATAAAATTTGCTTGTAAGCAAACTCACAAAATTAACTCACAACACACCATGTATGTAAATATTGATTTTTTTTAATAAAAAAGCAACTTTTATCCAAAATCAGGCAAAGCAGGCAGATTGAGTTGCTCACAGAATCATTCAGTGATCTATCTATCTGCCATCGGCTAGCTCAGTCTCTCAAATTTGCTTGCCGTGAGTCTGCACTGAATTTGCTTGCAAGCAAACCTTCTGTCCTAAGGGAGGTTCGGCTGTGCTTAGCTAGAAAGCAAGAAGTCCAATCATTTCCTGCTTCCTAGCTAATCTAAATCTCCCGGCACAGCAGAACAGATGATGGTTGGAAAAAGGAAAATTAGCAGCTTAGCAGACAAGTTTGCCGGGTAAGGAGTGAGTGGGCGGGAAGGGTTCCCGTGGGCCATGTGGGCTGAGCAGCCTTGTGTTTCTGCGCAGCCTGGATTAATTGCTTTGGGGAGGGGTGCTCTGGGGGTGAGATTTCTCTGCGGCCCACCAAAATTTTCTCATGGCCCACCAGTGGCCCACTGGTTGGCGACCGCTGATCTAGAACTTGTATTCATGACTGTGTAACTTCAAAATATACATGTGGGCACAAATTTCCAGCATCTAATTTTCTCAAGAGACAATTTTCTAGAAACTTGTTTTTAGAGAAAGTAAGAGTATAAGACACAGAATCAAGAGGGAAAAATGAGCTTTAAAAATGGTTATTATACCAATGTTTGGTACAATTATACACTTGTCTAGTCAGAAAGTAATTTTCATTTATTCAGATAACATAATCCTACTCTTCTTTCTGTTCATGGCACTTGGCCAAGATTGTCCCTTCCCCCTCCAAGGAGTGGGCTTCAAAAAATTTAGCAACCAGTTCTCTGCCTGGCTGCTGAGTGGGCGTGGCCATGGTGGGCGTGGCCTAGTCAGCCTCCTGCACCACCCTTGCCTGGGAGCAAAAACGGGCCGTGGGGCGTTTTTCACCCTCCCCGGACTCCAGAGTCTTTTCTCGAGCCTCTGGCAGGGCAAAAACAACCTCCATGGGCGTCGGGGGCTCTCTGGAGGGCAGAAACAGGCCTGTTTCCAGCCTTCCAGAACTTCCAGGAGGCCCGTTTTTCACCCTCCCTGGGCTCTGGAGGTTTTCCTCAAGCCTCTGGGAGGGCGAAAACAGCCTCCCTGGTCTTTGGAGGCTCTCTGGAGGCCAGAAACGGCCCGTTTCCAGCCTTCTGGAACTTCCAGGAGGCCCATTTTTCGCCCTCCCTGAGCCTCCACACGGACCCTGCACTTACCTGCAATCCAAAACGGGCCGCGCAGGGATTCCTGGGAGGGGAGGGGTGGGTGGGGCCAGCCAGCAGTGGGATTTGCTGGTTCGCTGAACTGGTCATAACATTAACAACCTGTTCGCCTGAACCAGTAAGAACCAGTAGCAGCCCGCTTGCCCCCCCAAAATGCTAAGTATAGAAAGCAGAATTGTCTCAACATTTTAACTATCTGCAGTTTAAAATTTTAGGTCTTCTTGGAGCCATGGTGGCACAGTGGTTAGAGTGCCGTACTGCAGGCTACTTCTGCTGACTGCCAGCTGCCTGCAATTTGGCAGTTCAAATCTCACCAGGCTCAAGGTTGACTCGGCCTTCCATCTTTCCGAGGTGGGTAAAATGAGGACCCAAATTGTTGGGGGCAATATGCTGACTCTGTAAACTGCTTAGAGAGGGCTGTAAAAGCACTGTGAAGCAGTATGTAAGTGTAAGTGCTATTGCTATAACACCTACTGTCAGCATCTTATTTGTAAAGCATATATAAATTACAAGCTACTGTATATAAACAGCAGAAGGGAATGGCTCGATGCAGCAGTTTTCAATTAGATGTAGAAGACCTCATTTAAAATCCCATTCAAGGAGACAAGTCAATAAACACTTCTTAAAGCCATATAGGCAAAATGAAAGTCTAAGTCTCCTGATGAATCAAGTATCTCTATCATTGGTTTAAAAAAAAGGTTTGCTAAAAATAAACTTATTTAATAGAGTTTTTCAGATACTTGCTCCAACAGAGGACTTCTTGAAGCAAGTCAAATTGAGATTATTGGTAGCATTTGATTTAATGTAAATGTAACTGAAATTACATTAGAAAATGTTCTCCATGTAATCAATAATGTCTTTCTACTGCATTACAAATAGCAATTTGATGGCAACCTTAGGAAGATACATATGCTACATCTATGGCTTTCTTGAGCCCAAGGTGTACAGTTGCCTGTTAGCCTTTTCAAAGCCTGCAATTTGTGGGGTATCACTGGGCTGAACACTTTCACTCCTACTATTAATACATGGATGATATTCAGTTGTGCATCTCAACAAAGCAAGCTAGGTTGTCCTGGTGTCTGGAGGCTCTGTGGAGGAACATGTTAAACTCAATCCCATCAAGACTAGCTGTAGATATTTGGACTCTCCCAGTTCCAGGGATCTTTGATTCTGAATGGGATCACACTATCCCCTTCTGGATTGGTGCACAATATGGGGGTCTTCCTGGACTTGCGATTCCTGTTCAAAGAGCAGGTTGCCACTGTAAGCAGGAAGGTCTTTGTTGGTTTTGGTTTGGATGCACCTGTTTCCGAATCATGAGGTTCTCCTTATAGTCATACATGCCTTGGCTAGCTAGTGAGTAGACTATTACAATTTGCACTATACGAGGCTGCTCTTAATGATTAATCAGAAGCTACAATTGGTCCACTTGGCAGTGACATAAGCCACCAACGGGCAGACATTATGCCCCTGTAACAAATCCCTTGGCTTTATTAGCAGACTGATTATCAGTAAACTCCCTGGTGCAATTCAAGATGCTAGTTATTACAGTAGACCCCACATAGCATAGGTTGTATGCAAGGGGCCATCCATCTCTTATAGCATCTACTTGTTCTCTATAATCAGATTTGGCTTCCTTTGGGTTCTGCTGATCAAGCAATGTTATCTTGCAGGAAATGAACTTTGTTACTGAACCTACCCTTTAGAACAGCATCCCCCAGAGATTCATATACCTTTCACCTGACCCTCCTTCAAGTGAACTCTAAAACCTTGGCTTTTTTCCCAGGTTAGGGTGTTCAACAGGCCCCTTTGGCCTGGGAATAACACAGAAAATGTCTTTTGTATGCTTTCTTGGGGCTACTGTTACTCTTTTTGTAATATTATTGTCTTCTTAATCTATGAAACCATTTGGAGGTTGGTGGCTTAGGAAGTTAGAGAGGTAAATATCCATTCCTCTCAGATTTACAATCCTATTTTGGATCTCATCCAAGATTTTAGCTTTTGCTAAAAACTCATAGCTTTCTCCTTGATGCAGAGAGACCAAAGGAGGGGAAGGGAAAGCATGGGAAAACACACACTTCCCAAGTAGCATGTGGGAAGAAAGACTGTATGGGACAGGAAGCAGGTGTAGGGGAGAATATATTTAAAAAACATGTATCCATACATACTAACAGCACTCAATTACAAAGAAACACATGCATAACCCTGATGGAGATCAACCCAAACACAAGAGCTTATGCTCTGCATGCAAAGTTACCACCGACACGCTCTGAACCTTATTGGGAATTGTGGGGTGTTTCCTCTCCACCACAGGTCCCCCCTCTCCAACAGGGCAAGGGGAATCTGGGGTGCTTTTCCTTTGTTTTATTGTTAAACTTTAAATGTCAATACTTGCATTTTACAACTCCCACTGGAGTTAGCAAGCATGTCTGCTGGTTACGGGCCTGTTCCTCCTCCCCCTGCTGTAACACAAAGCACAGCAGGAGAAAGGAAACAGAGTTATTAGGGGTGCAGAACAAAGAATTTACTGGGGGTAGGGAAATGAGTGAAATGCACTACGGACCCGGCTCTTCCCTGACTGGTGAGGGGAGGGCTTCTTACCGGCTCTCGGTCAGGCATGGCGGCCAGGGTCTTCGCAAAAAGGCCGAAGCCTTCTCCGACTAACATTCAGGGAGAGTTGTTGTTTTAGGGGGGGAACAAAAAGCAGAAGTGATCAGAATACTAACTCGATGGTGTCTGCCGCTAAGTCAGCAGCTGTGCTGTAAAGGAGAGAAAAGCTGGCACCCCCTAGAGGGGAGGAGGAGAGAAAAAAACACCCCACCTGCTCAAAGGACAAAGAACCCCCCATATCCCACAGGAAGATCGGTGGGCCGCTGCAGAACAAAAATGAAAAGAGGATGAACAAGGGAAGCTGGCCCTACCTGGTCTGTGACATTGATGTCCACATATTCACAGAAGGCATAACCTTTCGACAGGCCAGTGGCACTGTCCTTCACCAGGTTGAAAGCTTTCAGGGGCCCAAAGGAAGTGAGCAACTCCTTGACCTGATGGAGAAGGAAGAAACAATGTCAACGATTGTCATCACACCAAACAGTAGCCAAATCTCCATAGTAGCATGGTATTGTGAAGAATTAAAATAGTCTTTAAAGACTTATCTGGCTTTTGTAAGAAGGTTATTAAAATTAGTAAATACTTCAGTAGAAGGATTTCCCATAAAATGCTAGATCAAACTGGCTTAAACTGGCATTAACAAAGAATTACACTGAGTATGAAACATGTCCCAGCTGGTTAAAAATTAGGGAGAATGGAGAATGAAATGCCTGCCCACGTTATCCTGAATTGTGTCATACTCCCAGACTGACCTGATCATCATTAAGATAGTTTGGCAGACCCCCAATGAACAGTTTATGAGCAGAATCTGGGACCACTGTGGAAACGACACCTATAAGAAGGAAGCAAGTCAACATGGCAGGAAAATATATGAAGTTATCCATACGCTGCATACAACATTGCTAAATTTCCCCCTCCTTGTATATTATGTAACCATCACTTTTTTATTCACCAGAAGTCTGATAAACCCACCTGGCACATAAACTGATGGGTTTTCAGACATGCCAGGAAGTGGTTGATAATCATGGGGGCGTCTGATCTTCAGTGACTGTCCCTGGAAAATGATCCCATCAAAAGCCATGGCCTGTGTAGTTTCATCCACAGAACGGAACTGGAGCAGAGAAGAGGGGGGGAAATGGGGAAATCAATGTCAGTCTCTTATAGAATGTATGGCTACTCCTCAGGACCAAGAAGCAAAATGGGCATCTCTAATTAAATTCTAGACTTATATGAGGTTAGATTATCAGTGCCAGATCATGAAAGCAGTAGACTCTTTACAGTTCAATGTACATGTCTTGCAAAATTTACAAGGAATGAAATTCTCACCAATAATCTTCCAGATTGTAGAATACAAGGAAGCTATTATTTTGTACACCCAAGGAGACATGCCCTGAGCTGAAGTGGGGATTTATGCATTTATCCACAAAGCATTTAGAGTAGATAAAATACAAAAAAAAAAATGAAGTTAGAAGTAAAAGAAGCTCAATAAACTCAGTCAGATGGAATCTAAGCCTCACATAACCACTACCTCATATCTAGCATTTTTATTCTAACAAACATTTTAAAAGATTCCAAAATTTTTCACAATACTCTTGGGGCCAATAACACATATTTAAATACATATTCATGTTTATCAAGATTAAGGTTCCAAACAATTCAACTTCTTCACCTTTAAGGTCCACAAAATTATTTATTTTGGGGAAGGGCAGGATCTCTGGGTTTGTTTCTACAAGCCATCCATTCCATTTTACTTCTACTTCCTGTTCATTAATCATTAATGCATAACATACAATCTATTTCATATTAGCTTTTTTCCTCTGTTTGTACAAATTCCATGTTTTACTGTTCAGTTAAATGCAGACATTTGGCAAAGGGTAGCATCAGCAAGAGATGCCTTTAATTAGAATAATTAATAATGAAACAAGTTTTCAGCACAATTGGAGTGCTCAAATTAGTCCCAAATTCTAGAAAACAATGCTACTGAAAGAATTTGTCAACTGAACAAATAAGCAAGGCACTACTATTTCTAAAAATGCCCTGCATCCAATAAAGGTCAATCCCACTATCTCTTGGCTTTTCTGTTTCATATATTGGAAAATAATGGATATCTTTCCATGTGGTTTATCAGCATTTGCATAAACTACTATTGTAAATGCTTCCTCTCCTGCTATCACATTACTCAAGGGAAATCTTTTCTAAAAGCTGAATTTAGCCTTTGAATTAAATGTATTAACGTGCAGCAGGCTGGATTAACCTTACACCACCAACCTCCACAGTTGTGGCCTGAACTCATGGTAAAACATACAAAAAGAGAATAACTCTTATAGAGCCTCATATATAGCCAAGCTTTAGAACTCACGAACATGGACTATGTTATATTTTGAACATTCAGTAAAATCTACATGAAACAATTTTATGCATTTCTTTTGATTTCTCCAGAGTCATAATCATGCAAGTAAATCAGTGGTGTTTTAAACCTGTCCTGAGTCACTGTAAACTCACCTCCAGAAAAGCGAAGTTCTTGTCCTGGTTAATTTGCACAGCCAAGACAGGATTACCGGGAGCCTGAGTAAGGCCACCAAGGCGCATCTGGGCATTGAAGAAATCCATCATTGCTTCCTATTGGAATCATGGTAAGAGATGCAAAGAGTAGATGTATGATACAAGCTGGAATGGCAACCTGGACCACAAATAAATTACAAAACATTTCCTACTTGCCTGCTATGATGGTAGCAAACTGTGAAGCTATGAGGACTGCAGTCCCATACACTTGTGAGGGGAAAATAATGGGGACTTGTTGTTGTAACCTTTGCATGCCCTTCTAGCATAGTAAAGTTTGGGGGGTGAGATGGGTTCAATATTGACATTAATTGCCTGATGCAAGTAAAAAGGAAAATTTGTAATCGGCATGTGCATCTGATGAAATGGTAGCTGACATGGACACCATAGTTCCCTATATGCTGAAACAAGGGGGGGGGGGGGGGGGCGGAGGCTATGGGAAAAGAGGAAGTGTATGCTTAAAGTACGTGTAAAAATAGCCATGTTGTAACATTGAGGTTAAAGGAATGGAAAACTGCCCCTGTTGCTATGACAGTATGGACAGATTCCAAAAATCATGTGAGTTGTGATTTTAAGGTATAAAAGACAAAGTTGAATAAAGGGAGGTTGCGAATCGGCCTCAAGCCATCCCTTTTGACTGCTTGTTCAATTGACCCTCATTGCAATGTGATGTAAGTGCCTACAGCAAAGGCTTTATGTTTGCTATGCTTTAAATTCTAATAAACCTCTGAATCCTAAAGTGAGATTTTTTTGTGGTGTGGTGTCTGTTCAATTTTTATTAAGTGCAGCTATGCTTATAATCAGGTTTTCCCCGACACACTATTTACTTAAAGAGAAATGGAAAACTCTTTGGTCTTTTTTTCTTTTTGGTAGGGATAATTAAATAACAAGCAACCATATTTATTTCTCTGGTCATTAAGGTTTTAATACATCTCCCTCTATTATATATAAGCACCACTGAGCTACAGTCAGGACTGCAAATAAAATACACTGCTCAAAAAAATAAACGGAACACTTAAACAACACAATGTAACTCCAAGTCAATCACACTTCTGTGAAATCAAACTGTCCACTTAGGTAGCAACACTGATTGACAATCAATTGCACATGCTGTTGTGCAAATGGAATAGACAACAGGTAGAAAGCATAGGCAGTTAGCAAGACATCCCCAATAAAGGAGAGGTTCTGCAGGTGGTGACCACAGACCATTTCTCAGTTCCTATGCTTTCTGGATGATGGTTTGGTCACTTTTGAATGCTGGTGGGGCTTTCACTCTAGTGGTAGTATGAGACAGAGTCTACAACCCATACAAGTGGCTCAGGCAGTGCAGCTCATCCAGGATGGCACATCAATGCGAGCTGTGGCAAGAAGGTTTGCTGTGTCTGTCAGCATAGTGTCCAGAGCATGGAGGCGCGACCAGGAGACAGGCCAGTACATCAGGAGACGTGGAGGAGGCTGTAGGAGGGCAACAACCCAGCATCAGGACCGCTACCTCCACCTTTGTGCAAGGAGGGAGAGGAGGAGCACTGCCAGAGCCCTGCAAAATGACCTCCAACGGGCCACAAATGTGCATGTGGCTGCTCAAACGGTCAGAAACAGACTCCATGAGGGTGGTATGAGGGCCCGACGTCCACAGGTGGGGGTTGTGCTTACAGCCCAACACCGTGCAGGATGTTTGGCATTTGCCAGAGAACACCAAGATTGGCAAATTCGCCACTGGCGCCCTGTGCTCTTCACAGATGAAAGCAGGTTCACACTGAGCACATGTGACAGACATGACAGGGTCTGGAGACACCGTGGAGAACGTTCTGCTGCCTGCAACATCCTCCAGCATGACCGGTTTGGCAGTGGATCAGTAATGGTGTGGGGTGGCATTTCTTTAGGGGGCCGCACAGCCCTCTGCGTGCTCCCCAGAGGTAGCCTGACCGCCATTAGGTACCGAGATGAGATCCTCAGACCCCTTGTGAGACCATATGCTGGTGCGGTTGGCCCTGGGTTCCTCCTAATGCAAGATAATGCTAGACCTCATGTGGCTGGAGTGTGTCAGCAGTTCCTGCAAGATGAAGGCATTGATGCTATTGACTGGCCTGCCCGTTCCCTAGACCTGAGTCCAATTGAGCACATCTGGGACATCATGTCTCGCTCCATCCACCAGCGCCACGTTGCAACACAGACTGTCCAGGAGTTGGGGGATGCTTTAGTCCCGGTGTGGGAGGAGATCCCTCAGGAGACCATCCGCCACCTCATCAGGAGCATGCCCAGGCATTGTAGGGAGTTCATTCAGGCACGTGGAGGCCACACACACTACTGAGCCTCATTTTGACTTGTTTTAAGGACATTACATCGAAGTTGGATCAGCCTGTAGTGTTTTTTTCCACTTTAATTTTGAGTGTAACTCCAAATCCAGACCTCCATGGGTTGCTAAATTTGATTTCCATTGATAATTTTTGTGTGATTTTGTTGTCAGCACATTCAACTATGTAATGAACAAAGTATTTAATAAGAATATTCCATTCATTCAGATCTAGGATGTCTTATTTTTGTGTTCCCTTTATTTTTTTGAGCAGTGTGTAATGCTGCCCAGGGTCTAGTGGAGTAGGAGCCATAACAAATTTAATGAAATGAAATAATAATGCCCCATTCCCATATCAGAACATCTAAATCAGTATTCACTGCTTCAAACCAACCATGTTGATCAGCTTTAAATATCAACTGTACAAGACAAATTTAGAATATGTTCTGAGAAGAGATACTGTATTAAACTGAGCAACTCACTGATTCAATGTAGTCAGTTTGGCTCATAATGAATGAAAAGCAAGAAATGTCCTTTGAAAACAGCATGCTCTTATCTACATCACAGAGAGAAAACATTGAGCTGCTTTTCCTGTATGCTCAGCAATGCTTCAAGCCATCATTTCACCAATTTGGGCCCTAGCACTAAAGATGTGTATGTCTCTATTGCACCCAACCTCAAAATGTAGATAGCAGTAACCCCAAATCAAACATTTTTCTTTTTAAAGACAAACACTAAAATGTGTGGGGAGAAGACATGATCTGATAGGAAGGAATATTTAGAATATCCTTTCAGTCTGGCTACAATTCCCATCAGTATTTCTGGAAGGTACCAGTTCAGGGAAAGCAAAAGTTCATTTCATGTGATTCATTGACGAAAAACACCAAAGTACTCCAAAAGTTTGTATCTATCAAATATGAGTCATTAAGATGTCAAGTCATAATAACAGTTTGAGCATGGTGGCATTTAATGAGGTTCAGTTGGCTCTCCAACTTAAAACTTCCAGTGTTCCCTTTGCAACCTCTCAAATTCAATGACAAAATGTCAAATATGTAGGTTTTGATCAAAAAATGGCAAAATAAGACTGGAAGTGAAAATGGAATTCCTCTGGGTAGTGAGGCACTCCCATTTCCATTATTACCCCCGTTATCTTTAAAAATAAAAAAAGAAACAAATACTAAACCAGGCTGCTTTTTCTGGTGGCATCACTGAAATTGAGCACTTGTTGCAGCCAAAAGTTTCAAGGCTGAGCAGAGATGACAGAGTAAGCTAACAATATCCAAGTTACCCAGGAGCTTGCTCTTCCTGAGACCATCATCTGTGAACTATCCTTAAATATCACAATTCGATTCTTACTATGTTACAGAGCACCTGATTATGACATCGAACATGTAAACAAGTTAAATACATTACTAACATGGGCTGCATCCTGCCCATACCCTTTTATCTTTCTTGGTGATTTCAATCTACCTCATATTGACTGGACCCTAAATGAATGTACAACTGAAATCATACACACAACCTTCTACAATGCTATTACAAATCTGGGACTGGAACAACTAGTAACCAACAACACTAGACTAAACAACTGCCTCGATCTCATCTTCTGCAATAGTTTGAATTTAATTTACGGAATACAAACTAAAGAACCCTTTTCCAGCAGTGACCACAATATGATTGACTTTTGTCTCAACATACGCCCACACAAAAATCACCACAATGATGTAATCCCCAATTGTAACTTCAAAAAAGGCAACTATGATCTTATAGACCAGGGGTCCCCAACCGCCGGTTTTTTTTTTTTTTTTTTTTTTTTTTTTTTTTTTTTTTTTTTTTTTTAAAGTTCTTCACCCGAAATATCCCACCGGGAGAGCTCACCGGAAGCTCTTTTTCATCAAAAAAAGATGGCGGCGCCCAGTTGACGCCGGTACCGGGCCGCGGCGCCCAGCTGATGCCGGAACCGGGCCGCGGTGTCGAAAAGGTTGGGGATCACTGTTATAGACAACGATCTCTCATCCCTTGATTGGCAATCTCTATTCACTGGATGCAATACTGTTGAAGACCATTACAACATATTTTTACTTGAAGTCAAAAGAGTCATCAAACTATATGTACCAACAACAACTTCCAAAACAAAACAAAAAAGCAGATTACCCATAACAATAAGGAAACTTCAATCCAAAAAGAGATCACTCTGGCGGAAAAACAAATCTGGTCACGTTGCCAATTTCAAAAGCCGATACAAAAATTTATGCCACCAGATAAAGACCGAATGCATCAATTATCACATTAAACAAGAGGAAAACCTTCTAAGCACCAATTCCACCCGTGCTTTTTACAATTTTGTAAACAACAAACTAAAAGACTCAAGGTCTATCCCACCCTTGATAGGACCTGATGGTAAAGACTGCAACGACGACACCATTAAAGCCAACATCTTTAACACATTCTTCAGCTCAGTATTTGTAAACAGCAATGGATCATGCCCAGTATTTCCTAGCCGTACCACAGATAACAACAATGATCTAATACATATCGATTTTACAGAAGACAATGTTGAAAAAGCACTACGCAATCTAAAACCATCTCTATCTATTGGACCGGATGGAATATGTGCCTACTTCTTAAAAAAGCTATCCACTGCCATAGCCAAACCTCTAAGCATAATCTTTGAAAAATCTTTCAGGACCAGCTCCTTGCCTAACCTATGGTCACAAGCCACAGTCATCCCCATCTTCAAAAAGGGAGACCCAAGCCTAGTTGAAAATTACAGACCAATCTCCTTATGCTGCGTCACCTGTAAAGTCATGGAATCAATTATTAACCAATCCATCATCCTCCACTTAGAGACAAACAACCTACTCTCCAATAAACAATTTGGTTTCAGAAAAAAACTATCCTGTAATCTGCAACTCTTACACTGCAAAAACATATGGACGACACAACTCAACCAGGGCAAAGCAATAGACGCAATCTACATAGACTTCTGTAAAGCCTTTGATTCAGTGGTACACGACAAACTACTCCTAAAAATAAAATCCTATGGTATCTCTGGACAACTGAATAACTGGATAGAAGCATTCCTGGCAAACAGACAACAAATGGTCAAAATTGGGAGCGTCCTATCAAATTCTGTACCTGTCAATAGTGGTGTCCCCCAAGGCAGTGTTCTAGGACCAACTCTCTTCATACTCTACATAAATGACCTCTGTGATCATATTAAGAGCAATTGCGTTCTTTTCGCTGATGATGTAAAGCTGTTCAATACCACAGACAATACTGCTACCCTACAAAAAGATCTTGACTATGTATCAGAATGGTCAAACAAATGGCAACTTCAAATCTCAACAAATAAATGCTCTGTCTTACATATTGGCAAAAAAAATCAGAAAATAAAATACAAGCTGAATAGTCAAGATCTTGTTGATGACCCAAGCTCTGTAAAGGACCTTGGAATACTCACCTCTAATGATCTAAGTGCTAGAGCCCACTGCAACTACATAGCCAAAAAGGCATTAAGAGTTGTTAACCTAATCCTACGTAGCTTTTTCTCTGGTAATATCACACTACTAACCAGAGCATACAAAACATTTGCTAGACCAATACTCGAATACAGTTCATCAGTCTGGAACCCACATTACGTATCTGATATTAGCACAATTGAGAAAGTCCAGAAATATTTCACAAGAAGAGTTCTCCACTCCTCTACTCGTTGTAGAATACCTTATGCCACCAGACTTGAAATTCTAGAACTAGAAAACCTTGAATTACGCCGTCTTCGGTCTGATTTAAGCATGGTATATAAAATCATACATTGCAATGTCCTACCTGTCAATGAATACTTCAGCTTCAACCATAACAACACAAGAGCACACAATAGATACAAACTCAAAGTTAACCGCACCAAACTTGGTTGCAGGAAATACGACTTCAGCAATAGAGTGGTCAATGTCTGGAATACTCTACCCGACTCTGTAGTTTCTTCCCCAAACCCCAAAAACTTTAACCTTAAACTGTCTACTATTGACCTCACCCCTTTCCTAAGAGGTCTGTAGGGGGCGTGCATAAGCGCACCAACGTGCCTACCGTCCCTGTCCTATTGTTACTCTTATTCTTCTTTTATTTTTCTTATATGTACCCATTTCATGTATTCACAACTATGTATACACTTATACTTATTATCTTGTAAACAATTGGCAAATCAAATAAATAAATAAAGTACCTCAGTGATTCCAAAAGGGATATTGCCAACATAGAGACGTCGAGCTTGTCGCGTCATTTGGCTGCCAACTACAGGCACAGGTGTAGGTGTTACGGCTAGCCCATCTGGAGTCATGGTTGGTAGTAAGGCTGTAGCTGGAATTTGTCCCGCAGCTAGAAATGAAAAAAAAAGTATACTGAAAGTTAGCAGTTCTGAAAAAAACATTATATATTGGGAAAGTCTTGATGACATAAATACACAGGATTAAGAATGTGCAAAATGTTCCATTATGAAACATGCCAACCCCCAAGCAGGCCCATTTTGTGTGTTACAGAAGTGGCTTAAAATAGGTCTATTTTGAAGATTAGAGCACTTCCAAAACATTCAGAATAGCTTATTCTGGAGTCAGAACATTTTGAAGAGCCCTAAACAATCTGTGGCAACAGTGAGAATTAAAGTGTTATTAAAACATATATGGAATGATGAAGAAGAGAACTAGCAATCCAAATACTTTTCAAAACACATAAAAGTGTTAATTTTGTTATTGTGTCAGTAAAAATTAACTAGCTATTCACCAGCAAAGACCACAGCTTTTTCCATTATGCGCAGTAAACAATCAACCCAAAATGCACCAGATACAGGAAAAATGTTCCCAAGATGAAACAGAGCATTCTGACCACAGCATGGATGTTATACAGCTGTTATAAAGTCGAATTGGGGAACTCCTAGGCTGAGCCTTTTCAGTTCCATTTATACTTTTAACATCATGTGTTCATTTATTTGTTTATTTAGATTTTTATCACATCTTTATTACTTTATAAGAAACAAGCCATTGAGGTTCCTCCCCCTCTGCCAACTCCGGCCCCGGAAGCCCCTCCTGCCGCCACCAGTGGCAGCAGTGTGGCCAGTGAGGACGACCCAATGGTAATATCTACCATAAAATCGTGGATAGTGGTGCCCAGAACAGGAGTCCAAGGGGATATTAGAGGCCATCATAGACACCAGGTGCACCAGATGCCTAATCAGCCTTCCCACTGTCCAGAAGCTAGGGATAAGCACAACACCCCTGGCTCACCCCATATGCTTCATGCAAGTCAATGGGATATTAATAGGTGGAGCCCCTGCCACCCTAGTCACTGAGCTGGTGAGACTGGAAATGGGCCACCACTGAGAACTCATACGCTTTATAGTGGTGTCAAAAATGACAGTCAGTCATCTTAGGTCTCACATGGCTAGACAAGTGGGGACCCATCATAATGTGGTAAGATGACTACCGGAAGCTACAGTTAGGAATGGGTTCACTGCCACCCCCCTCAGTTGACAAACCCCAACCACCAGGACTGCAAACTAACCCTAAATGGGGGGGAAAGTAGCTGCCGTCGCTGACACACCACCAGGTTCCCCCCAGCCTCCCAGAGAGTATAAGGACCTGGCAGATGCATTTAGCAAGCACAAATGCAACACACTACACACACCCCCACTGACTCATCGACTGCGCAATAGAATTTGTACCCGGGGCCAAACTGGCCAAGCTGAAAATGTACTCCATGACCCCTAGGGAAATGGACGAATTGAGAAAATACATAGACACCAACCTGGCGAGAGGATTCATTCAGCCCAAGTCTAGGGTGGCCGCCCCGGTGATTTTTAAAGAGAAAAAAGATGGGTTGATGAGGCTCTGTGTGGACTTTAGAGGAATTAATGTGGTGTGCGTGGAAAACACCTACCCCCTGACCCTGATGAAGGACATGCTAAACCACTTGGCAAAGGGGAAGGTGTTCACCAAGCTGGATTTATAGGAAGCGTACTATCGGATGCAGATCAAAGAGGGAGAAGAGTGGAAAACGGCTTTCAATTGCCCACTATGCAGCTTCCAGTTTAAAGTAATGCCGTTCGGAGTACGGGAGCCCCCGCAGTATTCATGCAGCTGATCAATGCAGTGCTACATGAGCACCTCTACCAGGGAGTGTTAGTCTACCTGATGACATTCTCATATTTAGTGAGACCAAGCTAGTGTGCCAGGTCCTGAAAAAACTCCTGGCAACCTTGCGCGTACATGTCCAAAAAACTCATCAACACCGACAGGAGGTGGGTGGTGTGGATAAAGGAAGCCTATGCTGTCCGATGGGCTCTCCTTACCTGGACACACTTCCTGGAGGGAAGTAGGGTACCATTTGAAGTTTGGACTGATCACAAAAACCTAGAAGCCCTTAAAAACTGCCCAGAAGCTCTCTCACAAGCAAGTCCACTGGGTGCAATACTTCAAGCAGTTCAACTTTGAATTAAAATACATTCCAGAGGGAAAGGGCCTGATTGTGGACGCCTTGTCCAGGAAACCCCAATTCAGTTGTCATGAAGAAATATTTCACGCCATCATCTCTCCCTCGCAACTGGTGGCTCAAGCCATCACCAGACGCCAAGATGGATGCTGGGGCAGCCGGGGGGGGGGGGGGGGGGGGGCGCAAAAAGGGCACGGGCCCCCGGCCACCTTCCGGCCGCCCCGCGGCTTGGGCGTGCGCC